CAAATTCTCTTTCACTTTTAGGGAAAATTATGAATCGCATTGATAAAATAAGTTAGCTTGCATTTTTTTGTTATGTGTCACACATTTATTTGCCAGGAACACCAGCTCAACTAGTGTATTGGCCTGTAAACGAAATTATTTATTAGGTTTGGATCAGATTTCACTGTAAGAATCCTATGTGGATTCAACTAGTAGATAAAGGAGAAGTAATATGTTGGTAATGCAAATCATTAGAGTTTGAATACATGTAAAACCAACATCCCATAATTGAGGAAGTAAATTCAATGTGCTTTGAATACAAACCGTTCCTCCACTACTCAATAACTTCCAGGTTGTGATGATATGAGACAATAACCAACTCACCCATGATAGATGGAAGTTGGATGCCAGTCATCAATAAATAAAAGGGATTCCCTACTCAAAAAGCATCGGTTCTAAGTCTAGGGTTCCCTCACCATAAGAGCATAAAGGGTTTGAGTGAGTAGAAGAGTTCTTTTGACAACCACAATGGCTTAGATGGGTAAGTCTTCTTGTTCTATATATCATATTGTGATTTAGGGTTAAAATCTTAATTCTTAGGTTATTCCCAACATTCACTCGACTCGTTAAGCTAACAAGTCACCTTAATTATACATATTTTAATCAAGATTTCAAGCATGAGGGTCCAACACATTTTAGAAGTACCCAAATGCATTGACCATATAAATATAATCAAACCTTACAGAGGGTAGTCACTACAAATATTATAAACCCTTACAAAAGGAACTCATGAGATGAACTATATAGGTGGAATGCAGGATTTTGGTTTGGGAAGATGGATTTTGCAACTTTGGTGTCTTCTCAACAACTCATGAGATCAACTCTAGTTCTGATCAGTGCCTTTCAGGATTTAATACCCACCTGGTCAGATCACAAATTCACATGTAGATGAAAATCATATCAGTTAACATACAAGTAATAAAAATAAATAATAAATAAATAAAATAAAATAATTTAAACAGAGGACTTTCAATCCTAGGTAGCAACTTTTAAGAACCAAAACCACTAACCAAGATTAAAATTTCACATACAGAATTAAACCCAATTCATAAAAACACAAAATATGATCAAAAGTCATGACATTCAAAGAACAAGAGCCTGCCACAGTAAACCCTCATTAACTATTAGCTAAGCATCAATATATTAATCAATACACATAATTTTGCACGGAAAAATCAATTATCATACTTAAAAATCCTAAAAAAACCCATATTTTCATCAAAACAGTGGTCACGTAACAATTGAAAGACAACCAGACAGTTAAATTACACATTTTAATTCAAAAAATCAAAATTATTGATGCTTGAAAAGCCAATCAAACCATCTTTATTTAATAAAAAATATGAAGAAATAAGAGCAGGAAATGTACAGTAAAAAGGCAGAGCTCACGACATAGCTTAAAATGGCAGAGAAACAGAAGAAACTAGAAGAAGCCATGAGTCATACAAGATTGAAGAGAAAAAAGAAAGCGAGACTGCGAGAGGAGCCAGAAGCAAGGAAAGCCAGAGAATGGCTGGAGAGTGTGCGAGAGTGTGAGACGGTGAGAGTCAGTGAGGGTTTTTTTGGTTATGTCTATTGAATTTACTCAAAAGCCGTCAATAACAGGTGTTAACGGGTGGCTAACAGGTTTGGCGGGTTGACTGAAAATGACCCGTTATTTAATGGGTGATTAAAGAGCTCACCCGTTAACAACATGACCCACTAAGCACTCACCCAAATACTAGTTTTAACGAGTGGGTCGAGTCAGGTTAACGGGTCGGATCTATAATGCTAAGTCTAGTATCGGGTACCTTGAAAAATTTCTCCATTTATCGAAGCATAAAGCAAGCTCAAGTGTTGAAGCGTGGCTGCATGAAGGGCCTGCGCGTCAAGTCCACGCGCACAAGTGGGCCAACTTAGTAACCCGAACTCAAATTCTGGTTCGAATTGTCAAAATTTGAATTTTAACCCAAAACTAAATTTTGAGCCAAGGGTTGGAGTGAAATGGGGTATAGAAGGCAAATTTTGAGACTTATTCCAAGAGTTGGAGATGGTCTTATAATGACAAAGATAAGAAAAGCAAGCACAACCAAAAATTTTGGAAAATTAATATAAGATCTCATTGAAATAATTTTGTCTATGTATCTGTACTCGATTTACGCCATCGGCCTGAGTAATCAGGGTAGGCCCTAAGGGTAGCCGCGAGTGGCGACCGCCTGGCCTGAAATTCGTTTACCTTAGGTTGTAGGTTAATAAATAATAGAAAATAGAAAATATTTCAAAATTGAACCGTTACTGTGTTGGTGAAATGAATTAACAATTGGTTTGACTACTTGGTAGGTATTCAATCCAAGCAAATGCCTTTTGTTTCTCTTTAATTTCTTTTTCTTTTTCCTATCCGTTTTAGTCCTTCATCATTTAACAAAAAAAAAAAATTACACAAAATTTTTAAGAAAGCAAGCTATTAACTATCTCATACAGTTTAGAAGAATACAACTTCAGATAATCTAATTTTCAAACTATGAAATTAATTTTATTTGAAATTGGTCAAATAGTATACTGTCTTCGGTAGAGATTGAGTGACTTAGTTATGTTATCTATTGAAAAAGGATAGGAAGAAAACTTGATTGTGGGATGTTTTGATGCAATTATAAGTTTACATGTTGATTAAATTTTTGTTTGGTGTTTTATTTTTTTTGATACGGCCAACTTGTCCTCATCAAATTATTTTATTTGACACAGGACTCCTTGTTTCATAAATGTCTTAAAAAAATTTTCTCTTTTATTGTATTTGATTTTAAAACATGAAAAAAAAATATGTGTATATATATATGTATATATGTATATGTATATATAAATTTTTGTTTGGTGTTTTATTTTTTTTGATACGGCCAACTTGTCCTCATCAAATTATTTTATTTGACACAGGACTCCTCGTTTCATAAATGTCTTAAAAACTTTTTCTCTTTTATTGTATTTGATTTTAAAACATGAAAAAAAATATATATATATATATATATGTATGTATATATGACACATCAAAGGACTTAAAAACTCAAAGGCCTCCGCCCAGAAGCTTGACTCGGGCCCAAAAATTACAGGGTTGGCCCTGCGAGTAATCAAGTGTTTAGATGTTTTGATATTATTGAAAAATATGTTATGATTTTTAATTGTAATTATAATTTTTTAATATTGAATTATTTTGACATTTTCTTATGAAAATTATGGAATGTAAAACTGGGAAGGAGCAGTTCAGTTCAAACGATTTGTGCTGTTTGGCGTGTAGACTGCGGACTGGAACAGTTGAGGTTTTGTTGACGTGACAAGGCAACTGCCGATAGATTAATGCAATTAATGCAATTAATGGATATAATGAGATAATGGTGAATTTTTAAGAGGAGTAAGATTCTCTATCTCTTATTTTCATCATTTTCTCTCCTCTCCTCTCATGCATTATTTTTTATCTTATTATCTTTATAAAAATATTAATATAACTTAACCATTACCGTTTAAATAGAAGAGAAAAATAAAAGAAAAATAGATTAAGAAAGTTAAAAATGAAACTGGTGATGGGAATTTGTCAGGATGCTTTTTGGGATAAATAGCAAGAGGTGCCGTAAGCCTTAAGCCAACATAGGCTTTGGTTTATTTGAAAAGTCACGGACAGCCAGAACGTTAATTACTCACACTTTCATGAGTTTGAATTGCCCAACAGATTCTCTCCTGATTTTATTTGTGAGGTTTCTAAAAATTTGTAAATTGTATCCGTTTATTATATATTATGTAATCAGTTTTCGTCAAATACTGTTTGTATTTAAATTTAAATAATTTTTTAAAATGATATTTGATCACACAATGTACGATGAACAACACAATTCACAAACCACTACGATCCTTACAACAAGAATCCGGATTCTTGAATTGCAATGGATTCTGCAACGAATATCAGGCAGCAAGCAAATATTTCCTTCTATTACGGGAGGCTCTACAATCGAAGACGACCTTCAACAAATTTACCCTGGGCAATTTTTCAACTCAACACACAAAGTTAGTATAAAAATGTTGTCTGCAACACAAAGTTATTCATCTATTAGCGTTCCATGTTACTTTTTTTGTTGTCTTAACACATTACAGTTAAGTAATAAAGTTATAATGTGCCTCTTTGAGGAAACAAAAACGGAGGAGGAATTAATCACTTGAAGCACATCTCTAATGCTGTCGTGCTCAAGTATGCTGAAACGAGAATGCAAATTGTTTTTGCTTATGTTCATCAGGCCTACTTGAGATGTCGTTAGATTAAATATGAGGGAGTCTTCTACGTTCTTGCGTTCCTTATGCCATATTTTCTGTTTCTCTTGGGAACTGCAGCTTATTTGTATATTGAGATTAAACTTAAGAGAATTTCTCACTTCATGTCTTGAAAATTCCCAGTTTCTTAGATGAGCTTACACCGATCTGACTACTTGCTGAAGTCAGTTGTGCTCATGAAAAATCTTTCATATCTATATTCTAGATATACCCCGTGTACTATTTGATGCATCCCACTATTTAAGACCGTTGAGCAGAACCCCTAACTTTTTGTAATGCATGTTCGGGGCTCATCTCATTTCTTATCATTCTTAAGACTTAGAAGTGCACTTTGATATCTTATTTTTCGTGTCACTATTGCAGTTGTCGTTTTCTCCAGCGCTGAGCGGGAATTTCGACCTTACAAACCGGATCCAGCTCCACTACTGCATATATGTTCAGCTTGGGAAGTTAAACCTACTGAAGTAATGATGGCGGAGATTACCTTAAAGATGATTTGAGTACTAGTGTTTTTGTTTAGTGTCCTTTTGAAGAATTTATTCTGCGCTGTTCTTGTTACACCATTAGTGGATCGTCATCCTCAAAGTGCGTCGTATGGTGTGGCAGGCATACGATACTGTTATTCAGCATAATGGTTTGGCATGTGAACGGACGAAGAAGAAATAAATGGGTTGTGGAAAGGAATAGAATGATTTTATAATTGAAGGAATGAACCGATAATCAAATGGACCTGAACATCTGCATTGAACCTGCACAATGTTTGACATTTCTGAGCTTCTGTCTAATCTTGTTTGATGTGACATAAATAGTACTTGGAGAAGCCATGAACAATTGATTGCCTGACTTTGCAGGTGGTTTGTGGGAAGCGCGCGGGAGCTTGTTGCGTGCTTGCTTGATGAAAGTGGGAGGTACGACTCTCCAGAAATGCCAATTTCGAATTGAAACCAAATTTCAAGGTGTCTTCCCTGAGTGAAGTTCTCGCGCTATTGAAAGCAAATTTTGACCTTTCACCGTGGACGATCTTCACGTTACACAGATAAGTATAGGTTGCAGTACTTGTTTCATGGGTTGTTCTTTGCTCTTGTGCTGGAAGCCTGGAATACACGCAAAGAAACTGCAAGCTGAAAGATGAAGACGAAGGAACTTGTAGAAACCCATGTTATTAGGCGGAAGAGGAGGCTCATCAGTAAATTTGTGTGACTTAAATTAGTCTTGATAAGTGTACTGTACTTACTGGCCTGGTAAAAGCTCATCCAGTTACCACCGATAACCCATAAGACTTAGAAATTACTTTGGGCGAGATTGATCAAATGCCCACCCAGTTTGTTGTGGTTAAACCAATATGCCTAAAATTTTTATCCGCATGATTTAGGAAGTGCATACCAAGTCTGAGCCTTGGATGACCGGGGAAATATAGACACTGGGAAAGGAATTATGGGAGTCCGCCCGAGTAAAGGGAGCCTTCCCTGAGAGGGCCTTAGAGGAGAATCGAAATAATGTGACCCCTCTAAATTGCAAGCAATTGTGGATTGGCCAATACACACTACAGTGAAGGGTCTGAGAGGGTTTTTGACTCTCTGGGTATTACAGGAAGTTTATTCTTGGGTATGGCAAGATATGTTAGCCATTTTATCAACTCACAAAGAAAGAAGGGTTTCTTTGGTCACCTAGTGCCCAAGATGCTTTTAGTCAATTGAAACAAGTGATGAGATCTCCACAGCCCCAGTCATGCCAAATAAGGTAAACCTATTGCCTTCTCCAGCCAATCATTAGGTCCTAGAAACGAAACATTATCCACTTATGAGAGAGAGTTTATTGCAAATGTGCAGGCGGTGAAAAATGGTAAGAATTATTTGCAACGGAAACATTTTGTGAAAAGAATAGACCACCACAACATTATGTACTTTCTCAGTAATAGGGCTTATACTCCATTGACCCCATAACAAAAAGGAGAGAGAAAGAACAAGAAAATTGAAATAAAAAGCACCAAGATTTTAACCACAAAAATGCATATACATATATTTATATATATACACAAATGAATATGTATATGAATTAGAGTTTGCAAAAGCTATAGCAAAAGAAGCTGACACCCAAATTAATTTCCCTTTTACGCCTAGGGAGAGGGAGAGAAAGAAGAGTGGCAAAGCAAAAAAGCGAAAAAATTGATAAAAAAAGAAGAATGATGACTCAGACATTGCTTAAACCCGTTTTATCCCATGTTGGAGTGTGAGAGTCTGTAATACCAAGCAACAACGGTTGATAGCAATTACATAACTGAGGGGGAAATTAGAACATTTGAATTTGGATATGGGAAATGAGTAGAAACGGAAAATTTTACAAACTGGGAAGTTAGTGCTTGTGGGCGAATTACACTCCTTTTTGAAAACTCACGGCAACCTCTACTCCTTTCTTTCTCCCATGTTGATTTCGTATGTATCTATATATAAATATATAATTTTGTGAGTTATTAAATTCTTTTTATCTCATTTTTAAATTTCTTAGATATTTTTTTAAATATAATTTTGTTAGATTAATATTTTCTCCGAAAATGAAAGAGGAGTGGAGTTGGTCAAGTCTCCTTCTTTTTTCTTTTTTTTCTTTTTCATTTTTCAATAAAACAACTTTTAAGTTTCTGTTTTTTTAACAATATTTCTATGACATTTAGTCCATTTCTTTCTTCGAAAATGGAGGAGTGGATGTGACATCCCGTCCCGAAACTATCGAACCGTACGTGTGAAATGACCATTTTACCCCTAGTTTGTTCTATTATGTTTTTGGTGTTTAGTGTGGTGTGGACATGTGTGGGGGTCACACACACACACATTCACACTTGCTTTCTCTCCCTCTCCCTCTGACTTCCCTCTCTCTCTCTCTCCCCCGAGCTCCATTTCTCCTTCTTCCCTCTGTAAACGTACGGACACACACACACCCACCTTAAAACGTCACAGATCGAGGGATCCAAGACTACCATTGAACTCGTGGAGCTGAGATGAGTCTAGTGGTGCCATTTTCAGGTAAGAATCTCGACGTTTTCACGTCGATTTCACAAGGTCCGTTTTGGGTCACTATTCATGCAAACCTAATCTAGTATGTTTTTGGACATTTTAAGCTTGTAGATGTGTTAGTGAGGTTCCCAGGAGCTTGGGAGTGCTTCGTTGGGTGAATTTGGACGTCGGGAAAGCTTGGTTCAAAGTTGGCCGAACTTGGATCGTTGTTGCAGGTGAGATTCTTTGATTTTTAGGCCTTAAAACTAGTTTAACGTGAATCTACTAGTCCTAAGCTTCATTTTGATATAAAGAACGTGAAGAATGGTTGAAAAACGAGTGAGAAAACAAAGTTGGAAAATTTTGCAGTTTTCCGACGACGGCGACGGCGGCGGTGGCTCGCCGGAGAAGACAGGGGAATATTCCGTTAGGGTTTAACGGAATATTCCTAACGGACAGTAATGGCGTCAGTCAAGGTTAACGGAATATTCCAGGGAATATTCCTGACGGCGTCACTTGACGCCGTCAGCGTGCAGGTCACGTGGCCGCGCGTGGGGGCGCGTGGACCCGTGTCTATGCTGGCGCGTGGGGGCGCGTGACGTGTCCAAAAATTATTTTAAAAATATGGTTGTGATCGTGAGGTTGTGTAGATCACGTTGGTATATTCATTTGTCCATTTTGAGCAATGTTTGAGAAGTTATTTTGAATGGATGGTTATGTGCTTTAAAGTTAACGTTTTTTTAGTTAATTCGCATATAGGTGACACGTATCCCGAGGACGAGCGTGCACATTCGAGGCAGGGGGCTACGACCCTTCTACATACCAGTGAGTGGGCTTTTGTTTTCCGTATATACCTATATACATGTTATTTCCCAGGAATTAGTATAAATGCTTCGTTTTACGCCATTAATTTTATATGTTTGAGTATGCATGATTAGTGGCACATGAATTGGTTTATATTTATTATTACGTCATTTACATATATGTTGGTGCTGTGGCGGCCCAGGTAAGTGCCAGGTAAGCATGGTTTATCATTTGCATTAAATAGCGATTAGAGGTGCTTAGAGAGCTCATAACCTGCACCCCCGGTGTTAGTGCTCCCGCCCAGAGTAGGGCACAGTCCTTCACGTGTTATTCACCTCCCGCACCACACGCTCAGCTTGAATCCAAGTTAGGTGCACAGTCCTGTCGTACAGACCACTATAGGTGGTTCTGACTCGTAGGTGACCCGCGATTATTCGCACAGTCTTCACGTGATCGTAGCACTAGAGCGTCATATGTATTACACCCAGGCTTGTCGTACAGACCACTATAGGTGGTTCCGACTCGTGGGCAGGTTTAGGGAGATAGTGGTGATTTGAGCTCTCGATTCAGCCGTATAGGTCACTTAGGGGACTCCGGCTGTCAGTTTATTATGCTATTGATGTGATATACATACCTGAGCACTTGCATGTTACTATGAGGCGTTGAGCATGACGGCATACATTTGAGCATGTTGGCATACCCTTGAGTATACTTGGCATATTTATACCTTTGTATATATGTTATTCTCTGGGAAGTATACAGGTTTTACGGCGAGGGGTTATATTATGTTTTATGAAATGGTTTTCTAAGAGATTTGTTTTGCCCACTCACGCTTTTGTTTTTGCGCCCCTCCAGGTTCTAGTAGCTTAGCGGGTTTGGTGGTTTTCCCGGAGGACGTCCCGGCATTCTGACAGACACCCATCTACGTAGGGTCACCTTCGGGTGTACTATGGTTGTAAAGTTTCCTTTGGACTGCTGTAGACTTAAAGCTCTGATTTAAGCGTCTTACTTTTACTAGCACATACTCAACACTTTATATTTGCTAGTTTTAAATTATTCTCACTTTTATATTACTGTTTCTAGCTTCCGCACTGTGCACATGGCTACGTCACTTCCACGTGGCGGCCAGCATGCCCTGATCTCGGTTGGGGTGTGTCAGTGGAGTTGGTCACGTCTTTTCTTTTTCTTTTTTTCTTTTTTAATAAAAACAATTTTAAGTTTCGATTTTTTGTTTCAATACTATGGCTGTGTTTTATTTTGTATTTTCATTTTTTTTTGTGAGATATTAAACACTCAGGCTCTTCTAAAATGGAGGAGTGGTGTTGGTTGGTTGGGTTAAATTCATTTTATCTCATTTTTTTTTTTTCAGAAAATAAATCAGGGATTTCAGCACGTCCCTTTTTTATCTCATTTTTAAATTTCTTAGATATTTTTTTTTAAAATATAATTTTGTTATAGTGGGAGACTACTACGGCAACTGCTTCAAATACAGTTTCTTTCTTTCTGCACGTTGTATTTTCTTTCCTCCACTTTCTCTCCTTGCCACGTTTTTATCATCATGTCCTTACTTTTTGACTTTTTATTATTTTTACAACCTGTAACAAAAGGGGCAATTTTGAGATATTAAATGTTTCACCAGTTCCAGCACTTCTTCCCCTTTTTATTTGTTTTTTTTTTCTTCTAATAAAAAGAATTTTAGATTTATGTTTTTTTTACAAAATTGCCCTTGTTTTCATGTATCAAATTCAGTTTTAGTTTTAGATTTTTTTTGTTTGAGGGGCTTTATAGTCCAATTATTTTTTGTGAAGCCTTGAGACACCAAACTCTCTTTCTGGCTTTCTAATATTAAAAATGAACTATATTGTTGTTGACTAAAATAACTCGTAGGAAACTAAGTCTGTTTGTTAGATTTGTGCTTGGTTAACTAACGAATCTGTACTTAATTGACTAGTGAATTTGACTAGTCAATCCAGCCTACTTTAATTCATAATTGCTTTGTCATCGTTGTTTGCATAATGAACAGATATGTGAATGCGTTCCATTTTTGTGATTTTTTGTTGTTAGACAGATCTAGGTAGACTCTAACTAGTTAGACATATTAGTCAATTAAGTTTAGTTCTTGCAACTGTACTTTCTGTCACTGAAGAACTTGTAACTAATTAGCTAGCTCATTTAACTAGTTTACTGTGCAAAGTTAAAATTTTTATTAGCAGGATACTCTGCCTAATACCAATTTCAATTGGTATCAAAGCTCTGCTCTTGTTATACAGAGAGTAATCTCTGAGAGTTACTGGTATTGAGCAGCATCTCACCATTGATTGTGATTGTGTTACTGGCTCTTATAACTCACATCCGTTCTGTGTTGGAACAGACTATGCTGCATAGAGTGAGAAGTTCACCGACAAGCCCTCTTTATTCCATCGTTTCATAAATACATTCTAACATGCTCAAACGATTACACATACAATATGGCTGCTACCCGACAATCACAAAACATAAAACCTTGTAGGATGGATGTTATACCCATTATTCCGTAATCTCTGCTATCTAACAGCATTTAGTTGCAGAATATAAAGATGACATACACTGATCAGATTGTAATGATAAAACTGCTTACTGCAAAAACTCTCTCGGGTCGGTGACGTAACCAGTCAAAGCTGACGCAGCCGCCGTATAGGGGGAAGCGAGATATATCTGGCCTTCCTTGTGACCCATTCGACCTGGGAAGTTCCTGTTTGTTGTCGAGACGCATACCTGCAAAGACAAGATGGTTAATAATCTACCAGTATTTATTTTCAATACAATTGAAACTAAAACCAAGATGTTCTCCTTGCAACAAGGTTATCTGCAAATTGGGTTATGAACCCCAAAGGCAGGGAAGTCAGTCCCAATTCTATCGAAGACGACATAGTGAAATGCAACAATGCGTGACGTCCAGCTGCCCCAAGACAGGAGAGCACATTAGATCCTTATGAATGTGTTGCAGAAAGGATGCACTCGCCTGAGGTTCATTTAAGCGTGCATGCGTGTCTTTCGGACCCCCCATGCAAGCACCGCAAGTGGGACTTGCAGGTGCGTCACATCCAGCTTCCTCAAATATCTGGGAGCAAGTCTTGCCACCAGACCCTGGAACTAGCAGACTATACACGTCCATCCAAACCTGCAGATTTCAGAATATACAATAAACAAGATTTCATTTATCATGCCTTTCATAAAATTTCTTGATAAATTTATATATACAGATGTTGTCACCGAAGTACTTAATTCTGTAGCTTGACAAACCTTTTGGGTAGCAGGCACAAGAAATGTGGGAACTTTGACCTTTTTCCCCTGCAGCAAAGGAATTAAATCTTTAAGCTTAAACCAAGAAAAGAGAATTTCCAAAAAAAACATTCAGATGTCAATTGAAGTCAGCATTACAGAATATGTAAACAATATCCGAAGTCAGCATATGTAAACAATATCCCAATACTCATGTGACAAAGATTTGACTCCTTACAGATGCTAGAAAAACTCTGGCTGCAGCCATAAAATCCTCCATTTTTCCACCAGTGCAAGAACCGATGTATACTCTGTCAATTTTCACATCTTTGCATTCTCTTGCTAAAGCACGATTATCTGGAGAATGAGGCTGGAAAACAATTCTTGTTATGAATTAACCATGGAAGAGAGGCAAAATTACAAATCATTGAATATCTACAAGGGAGATTAAACTATAAGAGACCAATCATGTGCTGCTCACCTTTGCCACCAATGGCTCCAATTTTGAGATATCAAATCTGTACTCTTTAAGAAATCTAAATGCACACAAAACAAACTCATTAATACAAACGAATTCCAAAAGGCCAAATCTCACAAATCTTAAGTTAGTCAACAGAAGGAATAAAAGAATATGCATATTATAAAAAGGAATATAAAAGAATATGCATATTCGAATCCTAGGTATGCTTAACATCCAATTCTCTTACATCTGCTGTAGATTTACAAATGATGATAAGGTAGTCCGTGACAACCTGAACTAAACTACATAAGATGATGACCACATAGTACTTTAAATGTGACAGTTCTACTAGTATATTTTCAAAGAGATGAATATAGAATGATGTCTCATCCACTAACATAACATTGTCAAAATTCAAATGCACCATCACTGCGTCAAAAGTCCCTCAAAACCATAGGAAATACTATTTTAAATATATCGCATTAAAACGTTATTAAATCTAAAAGGAACATAAGATTCTAGAGTGCATGTCCACGTTGAAAGCAAAATACATGCTTCAGAGTTCAAACGTTATAAACTGGATCATGAAATGGTCGAATAAAATGTGGATAATCAGTAGCATTAATTACCTTGCTTTAGCATCACTGTAAACAGGTTCATAGGGAACAGACGTGTTATCCTGCAGTTCAACATTAAACATTATATAGCCTGTGCTACACAACACAAATGTATGTGAGATTCAAAAAGAACAAATTTGTGACAGCCACCCACCAAAAAATAAAAAATAAAAAAATAAAAAATAAAAAACGTGAAAATGTTGTGCTCCCAACTCCATTTTACTGACTCTAAAGGAGGGGAAAGAGAGGGAGAGAGAGCCATCGTAACATTTGAAGATTTGTAGCACTAACCTCAAGGTAATTAAATGTAGTGCTATCAGCAGGAACAATACCATTTTTACCTCCAGCCTCAACAACCATGTTGCATAATGTCATTCGTTCTTCCATCTGTCCAGCACAGGTTTGTGAAAGAGTAATTAACAGATACAACCAGATGAATGGTATGATCATACATACAGTAAAATTCACTTACAGATAAGCTTTCAACAGTGCTGCCAACAAATTCCATAGCTTTATATGTTCCACCAGCAACAGTTATTTCACCAATAATTTGCCAGATGAAATTCATTTATCAAGGAGACAACAAGCCTGGATGTGTTATATATTAAGAAAATAAAATCATATGATCAGTCTAACTTTTATAATTTTAACTTCTTTGTATATGCAGACTGAGTGGAAAAAAAAATGCTTTGAGAACAGTTAAACTTACTTGCAGAATCAAATCTTTGGCAAGCAAATAGTCGGGCATTTCACCATCCATCACAAATCTCAATGTTGGTGGCACCTGCAATTTTAGAAGGAAATCAGAAGAGTACGAAAACACAATAAAATTCACAGAAATTACTGCAAACAATTATAACATTAAAGTATGAGATAAAGCAGTACTGCAGAAATTGTGAATCAACAGATACAACAACCTCGATCACTCATAGCTCATATTGGAAAGAGAAACACATTTAGCTTATCAAAAAGCATAATTCTCCCTTTTCGGTTCTCTACATGGAGTACTTTCCTGTTTTCTGATTTTTTAACAATGTCCAATGATTTGTTTTGAGACATTCAGACCTCAGATTGAGTGAGGCTGCAACATGTACCCTTCTTGATATTGCCTTCATGATCCCAATGAACAATATCAAATAATACAGTAAAGTTATGGCTTTTATAAAGTCTAACCCATAGCTTCAAAAATCAAAGGGAAACCAAATGAAAACCCCACCTCCTAGTATTAGAACATAATATAAGATGAAAACATCTCAACTTGGGCATGCAGACATGGTACTTGTGCTTAATAAAACTTGAGTGTCACATGCAAATGGTACTAGAGCCAGTTGTTTCATATGGCATGTATCTAAACACCTCACACAACACTTGCTTCCAGGACATATACAACAATCTATAACTGTATAAATCAATCTAAATCAACCATTTACTAAAATCCTTTCATGTGCACAATATCAAAGTTTCACGAACTCATCATGCCTGCCAGTGCACTTTCGAAAACCATCACCACCTTCATGATCACACTTAAACAAGAGTAATGAAGGCAGAAAAGTTCTGCAACGAGCATTTAAATCGTATTGGTTGTCACTACCTACTATTCAAAGCCATTTCATATTGTTTTCCCATCACTTATTGGAACATAAATACTACTACTTTCTTCAACTAAATACATAGTTCTTGATGTTTGAAGTCGAATACTCTGCCAAAAATCAATGATTCTATCAGTCTGTAGATATATAACATATCTGATGGAAGATCATGATACCAATGATGATGGTTCATTGACCCTTCATTTATTACAAAGAACTTAGAAACTCATTATTACCATCACAATTTAAATAAAACAAAAGAAAAGGTAAGAAACAACTCCGAAACCATTGAAGCACTACGGTATTACAATGGCTCAAATTTTTAATACGTGTAAAACACAGTATGAAAGCTAAACAGGGTAAAAAGGGCCAATAGTCACAATATTATATTAAGGGAAGCTAAACTATCCGTGGAATTAAACCATTCGCGTGAACTCCGCCGGAGAGTGACAATTATATGTGATCAGAAAAGCAGAAATGAAAACATATTTAAAATCTGCAAACCTTGAGCAGAAGCTTCCCAGTGCCCAATACAAATCCTGCATCAGTGTTCCCAATTCCAGAAGCAAATTGTCCAAAAGCTCCAGCAGTACATGTATGAGAATCTGTACCCAGCAGAACCTGAAGACCAAATCAGGTGTTTGGTTGCTGCTTTGGACTGAAAAAACCATAAAATAATATTGAACTCTTCAAAGGAACGTACCTCCCCTGGCCTGCAATGACCTTCTTGAGCAAGAGCAACATGGCATACGCCCTTATAATCTGGGTTGGCCTGCCAAATTGTCAACTAAACTCAATATCTGCTGATTAAACCAATTAAAACATGGTGAAAAGATAACACTTAAAACCCACACCTTGAAATTACTTAGATCCTTGATATCATAGAAATACTTGATGTTTTGCTCCATGCACAAGTCCCTTAAGATATCCACATTACGGTTTGCACGTTCATCAGTTGTAAATATATAATGGTCAGGTATGATTACAACCTTTTCGCGGTTCCAAACCTGCAATAGAAAAACAATGAAGCTCTATTGATACCCCATGACAACAAAAACTGCAGTGATTACAAAATCTCAGATATGAAAAATAGACCCTTTCAATAGTAATCAACACATACAGAGATGATGAATAGTGAGCTAAAAAAAGAAAATATGTCATCAAGCAATGAGTTAAATGCAAATGAATTGCTTCTTTTTTTTTATTTCTGTGACTAGTTATGGTTATTCACTAAGAAAGCAGTAAGAGAGGACTTGTAAGTTGATATGTTGTATTGGCAGCAGAAACGGGCATGTGGACTATGACAACAAAAAACAAATACAACCTACTCATTTCTGCCATCCACCGTAGTGTTTGGTCAAGCTACGCTATGATGCTAATGTTCCTCGACTCTGGCAGTGATGTGCAGAAACCATTTGGAACACATTCATGCAGAATGTTTCTTGCGGAGCTGGCTAACCCGACACATAGAAGTAGATTCTCTAATGTGATCATTACCATTGCCATAAGAGTCAACGACTTGATCAATGAACCTATTACTTCTGACTAAATATTTATACCAACCTCTTTTCCTTTTTGGTTTGTAAAGCATGCCTAGATCAGCAAACTAAGCTATTCAAAACCCACAGATATGGCTTCCGATGGTACTGGGTGTTTAATACAGTAATGCATTTAGAAAAACAAAAAGAAAAAGAAAAAGAGGAAAAGGAAGTACCTTTGCGTTCTGGCCGAACTCTTTCTTGAGGATTCCAAATGAACCGGGGCCACAGACGTCATGGGTCATCAAAACATCGACATCAACCCAAACATTCTCACCCGGACTCAGCTGGGTTTTCTCAGAAGCTCGAGCAAATATCTTCTCAGTCATCGTCATCCCCGTCTTAACCTGAAAATTAACCAAAACCCAATTAAAAAAAACCCGCCAAATGGAGATTCTCATCAATCCTAATCGCACAAAACAATGAAAAAAAAAGTTCATCCTAACCGAGCCGGTGGTGGCGGGCTTGCGCTCCGATTGCTGAGAAGCCATGACGGAGCAAATTTTCTTGGATTTTCTCTTGCATTTCTGACTGGAAATCGGCGTTGCGGAGGAGAAAGCAGAGAGATTCAGATCCTTATGAGGTTGAAATCAAATTCAGCAATGGTTTAGTGAAAACCCAACAAAAAAATTTGGAAGAAAAAAAAAACTTGGAGCCAAAAAAACAAAAGGGGCCTTGTTGCCGATGAAGGAGGTGGACGGCGGAGCAGCGGTGGAGTAAGCCATGGGTGTCAGAATGCGAGTTTATGCGGCGTAACACTGATGTCTCTGCAGAAGAAGAAGAAGCGACGAAGAAGTGGAAGAGTTGTGTTTTGGTTTTGCTACTTTGTGGGAAGCGGCGGCTGAGTGGCGTGTGTTTTGGAGTGGCTGCGACTGTGAGGCAGAAATGACATGTGGACGTGTCGTGTGTAGTTGGTGTTGCCTTATTTTATGTTGTCCGGAGCGGGAGCTCGATCATCTGGGACAATGCAGCAGGCGACCAAACTTACGTAGCAGCAAAATAACACGCGTTTCCTGCAACTTATTACATTTTAAATTTAAAATATAGATTAGTGTACAATATTATTTGGTAACGGTTATTAATACTTTAAAAATCTTATTCTACACTTCTCCTCACAAGTGTAATTTTTTTACTAATTATAAAAAGTTTGTAGTACAAAATGAGATTTTTGAAATGCAATGATAATTTTCTATTATTTATTAAAAAAAAATGAAAAGCTCAATTTGTACCTTAAATATAACACTAGTTTTCATCAAACGTTTACTATTTTATATAATGATATATTTATACTAATAGATCGAATGATAAATTAGTTTCGAATTGTCGTTTATGAAATTTGAACTTAAAACTTCTTACTTGTCATTTATATGTGAAGAAAATATCATCAAATTATAATATTATGTGATAAATATTATTTCACACTTAAAACCCTTTTAATGATTTTTTTAATGAGACACACATGAATAAGATTGAGCAAATTATATGAGAAACCCGATGTTGATGGCAAGTTTTTTCTTTTTGTAGGCTTTTGAAAGTACGTATAAAACTCTGAAGGATGAAATTGATTTATCATGAAGCCACATTCAAGAATTTAGAGATGCCCAGCCGGAAAAATCAAGGGAGAATGAGAGCTGCGGGAAGCCCTCGACGTTGGTGTTTGTTGGGCAAAAAGTTCGATGGAAATGTCCCAGTTTTGGGACTTTGAAGATTAACTGTGATGGGGCATGGAGTGGAAAATCGATGTTAGGTGGCTATGGGTGGGTGGTGAGAGATTTTGCGGGACTTTTGAAGATGGTTGGTGGGGGTGGGGGCCGAGTTTTTTAATGGTGCAAATATGGCGGAAAGCCGGAGGCAGCTCCAATTTGTGTAGCTTTGGTGATGTGCAGAGACTTGAATTATGAGATGGTAGAGATAGAGTCTAATGCTCTCTCTTACAAGTTACAACATGATAAATGAGGAATGCTCTATTGATGCAAGCTTGGAATGTTTCATTTTTTATATGAAGACCTTGGCGTCTCAGATTAGAGAGGTGGAGTTTATGTATGTTTAGAGGAGTGGTAATCTCGCTGCCCATGCAATGGCTTCCTATGCTACCTCGCGTGGTGGTTCATTCTAGTAGGATGCTTATGGCCATGAATTCTTTTTTAATATTCTTGCAGAATATGTAAACATTTATATTAGAAATTAATAAAATTTATCATTTGACAAAAAAAAATTAAAAAATTAAAAAATCTCTTATTAACAAATTTATTGTTAATCGTTTTGTTTAATAGGCATAGCTGACATTACCATATCATCCTCATCACGTGGATTTCCAAAAGAGAGTAAAGGATAATTGAAGATTATAGTAGTGCTATTTGAGGAGAAATTTTTGTGTGTATTGAGAATACAGTCTGGTATATATTAAGACTACGATTTGGTACATTAAGTATGTGGATTTGTATTCACGATGGAGTAGAAGGAAGACTAGCATATTCTATAAGCATGGCGAAGACAACGGTGCATGGACTAACCTATTTGGTTATAATCCAAAGTATCGTGAGATTGTATTCCACAATGGCCATTTGTTTGCATTGTTCGGGGACCAATAAGTTCTTGTTTGGGACTTAGTTAAACTAAATATGGTAAATACAAAAAATATATATGACAATATTTGGGAATTTTTTGTATATTCATTAATCTTCAAAGTGGAGTTACAATTGGTATTACCTATGCACTTCGTCAATATACTACTATTTACACCTTAACTAATATACAACTAGCAACACTCCCCCTCAAGTTGGAAGGAGCAAAGAAGTCACGCATGCCCAACTTGTCAAGCGAGTTGGAAAACACATTATTAGACACAACCTTAGTAAGCACATCAGCATGTTGATCTTCAGATCCCATGAACAGAAACATAATAATTCCAGCATCCAATTTTTCCTTGATGAAATGTCGATCAATCTCCACATGTTTTGTTCGATCATGCTGCACTGGATTATGAGCAATCTCAATAGCAGCCTTGTTATGACAATGGAGTTTCATAGCACCCTTGGGTTTAAATCTAAGATCTCTTAACAATTTTTTCAACAACAACTCACATACACCATGAGACATACCATGAAACTCAGCTTCAGCACTTGACCTAGCCAACACTTTTTGTTTCTTGCTTCTCCAAGTAACTAGATTATCACCCACAAACGTAAAGTATCTAGATGTAGATTGCTAGTCATTGATAGAACCTGCCCAATCTGCATCTGTGTACCCTTCGACATTCAAATGATCATTCTTGGAGAAAACCAAGCCTCTGCCAGGAGCCATCTTCAAGTACCTCAAAATACAGTTACTGCATCCATATGAGCTTCACTAGGTGAATGCATAAACTGACTTACCACAGTAACTGCATAAGCAATGCCAGGGCGAGTGTGAGACAAATAAATTAATCTCCCCACAAGCCTCTGATACCATTCTTTATGAGTAGGATTGATCCGAAAATAAGCCCATACGATGATTCTGCTTAATCGGAGTATTAACAGGTTTACAATCTAACATACCTGTTTCCGCTAACAAATCAAGAACATACTTTCGTTGAGACAAAAAAATACCATGTTTGGATCGTGCAACCTTGATTCCAAGAAAATATTTCAATTCACCCAATTCTTTCATCTCAAATTCAGTAGCTAGGTACTTTTGAAGGCACTGTATCTTCTTTTAATCATCACCAGTCATTATCATGTCATCAACATAAATAATCAATGCAGTTAGCTTACCATTTTGTCTCTTTAGAAACATTGAACTGGTAAACCTCCCAAACCATGCTCTAGGAGATTGTTTCAAACCATACAAAGCATTTCGCAATCTGCACACAACATCTTTTCAGGAGATATTCTGATACCAGGTGGGAGATCCATATAAGCTTCCTCATTGAGATCATTATGAAAGAAAGCATTTTTAACATCAAACCTCAATAGGGGCTAATCCTAGTTTGCTAATAAGGATAGAAGAACACGTACAATATTAAGTTTGGCAACATGAGCAAAAGTCTCATGATAATCCACCACATAGGTTTAAGTATTACCCTTAGCAACTAATTTGGCTTTGTACCAGTCAATAGAACCATTTGCTTTATGCTTAATAGTGAACACCCATCTACATCCAACATCTTTCTTCTCGTTTGGCAAAGGAACCAAATCCCAAGTGGAATTCTTTTCCAAAGCTTCCATCCCAATATTTATGGCATTAACCCACTTAGGGGTCAGACAAAGCATCGTGCAATCTTGTTGGAACTGATACACTAGATAGCTGACATATGTAAGATGCATATGGTTTGGACAAACGATGAGTAGACACATAATTGTTGATAGGACACTTGGCTTTGGTATACATATCAAGCTTATAAACAACTTTAGGTTTTCCACGATTAGCTCATAGAGGCAACTGATAAGTAGAAGAATCATCAAAATTTACCTCATGTATGTCACCATCTTGTACCAAACCGTTAGAAGCATCATCAAAATTTACCTCATGTATGTCACCATCTTGTACCAAACCGTTAGAAGAATCATCACTGGATGAACCATTATCAGGCAACTCGTTAAGCATATTAGTAGCAGGTTGGTCATCAATATGCAACTCGTTGGGCACATCCAACCAGTCATCAGTAGAAATAGTCTCGAGAATGTCAGTTGACCGATCACCATGAATAGCCAACTAATCATTATCACGCAACATCTCGGGAATGATAGTTGATCGATCACTATCTATAACCGACTGATCATTATCACGCAACATAATAGGTTATGTCCCCAAATCTGCCTGTAACATATCATCTATGCCATCTATTTGAATCTGCACTTCACTCCCCCTCTTCCCTTGAAGTGGAGTGTCGGAAGAGGGCTTCACAAAATACGAAAGTTCCTCATGGAAGGTAACATCCATGGTAATATAAGTTTTATGAGTTGGAGGATAATAACACTTATAGCCTTTTTGATTGTTTGCAAACCCAATAAATTCATATCAGAGAGCACATGATAAGAGTAGACATGCACATACGCAATACACCCAAACACATTCGGAGGAAGTTTGGATACAGAGACAACAAAAACATGTTTTTGCAGCACATCAAACTGTATTTAAAAATCAAGAACCCTACTCGGAACACGATTTATCAAATACACAGCAGCCAAAACAGCATGACCCCATAAATGATTAGGAACACATTTATCCAACATCAAGGAGCGAGCAACCTTCATTATTTAACGATTCTTCCGTTCAGACACATCATTTTGTTGGGGTGTAAACGGAGTAATTGTTTGGTGAATAATACCTTGATCATGAAAAAAATATGCCAAAGCGTGATTCACATATTCTCCTCCGTTATCAGACCTGAAGACCTTAACTTTGGTTTGAAATTGAGTAGACACCATTGCACAAAATTCTTGAAGAAGAAAAGGGACATCACTCTTATTCTTCATCAAGAACACCCAAGTTAATTTAGTACAATCATCAATAAAAGTAACAAACCAATGAAATCTATTAGACCTGGTTTGGTACTGAGGTGATTCTGAAAAAAGCTGCTATCAAAAAAAGCTGGGAGCTATTTTTGTGTTTGGTAAACACTCAACTTCAGCTTTTTTTCACAGTTTTAGATGAAAAAAAGCCAAAAACAAGAATCTGCAAAACCTAACTTTGAAAAACCGGCTTTTTTTTCACATCTATTTTACATAAAAGTTTACCAAACACTCTAATACTGCTTTTTTTTTTTCAAAAACACTTTTACAAAAAAGTTTACCAAACACTCTACTGCTTTATTTCACAGCTGCTTATTCTCACAGCACAGCAGAAGCAGCTTTTTTTCAAAGTACAGCAATACCAAACCAGCCCTTAGAAGTAACCTTCACTGGACCCCACACATCAGAATGTATTAAATAAAATAGCAAAGTAGCTTTAGAATCACTTATGGGAAAGGAAGCACGATGACTCTTAGCCATGACACATGTTTCACACTTGGAACTTTGAATCACTACAAGTGCGAAAC